ATATGTGTGTTCCATATAAGAAAGGAAAAAAAAAAAGGACTCACAGCAAGACCATGTTACTGAACATAAATGATCCCACAGAATATGTCTCAGACAAGGTTATGGTTACTCTGATATCAGGATAAAATGAGATGAAATAAGGCCACTTTATATTTTATCTTACAACAGACAACAAGGTCATTGTGCCACTCACAAACTATTAAATATTATCCCCACTTCTCTAAAACAAGTGATTGCTACTTCTTATCAATAACTACTCTGCCATGGCAGCATGAAAGCAGCCTTAGACAATACATAAATGAGTAAGTGTGTTTGTGTTCCAATAAAACTTTATTTATAAAAGTGAATTGTTATAAACCCATTTTACCTTTGTGCTAGTCTCCTCCCCTGATATGTAGCTAGGATTTATGTGTTGAGATTCCCCATCATGAATTGCCCTTGCTTTCTGGCATCCAGTCTAGAGCAATCCCTCACTTTCTTAGACCTTCCTCCAAATCACTCTGCCATAGTCCAGATCCTGTGATAGGTTATTGCTAACACCCTCTGAGACATCCCATGATTCCCAATGGTGTGCAGTCTCCCTCACTGCAGCAAGCAATAAATCCAACTTCTTTAACTGTAGGAGTGTTTCTGGCAGTCTTTGGCTCAACTGACACATCTACAGTGTATTTTTCTTGTTTTTATTTCAGTAAAATCACTGACATATTTTATACTAAAAAATTTCAAATAATTTCTATTCTCTTCACAGCACTGGTAAACTATAGCCGTGGGCCAAATCAGGCCTGCTGCCCATTTTTATTAATAAATTTTATTGGAACACAAACACACTTACTCATTTATGTACTGTCTAAGGCTACTTCCCTGCTATCATGGCAGAGTAGTTCTGGTGTGGAACTGAAACTGGAAGGGAAGCAAGAAAATGGACACTGGGTGGTACCAGAAAATGATAGTTTGCTGTGCAAGTATACATGCTATCACAGAGGAAAGATTTGGCAAGCCAATTATTTGTTATTTCTCTTGTTGTAGCTCTTCTATCTCTCATTCTTCCCCAGACTCTGAAGCAGTGTCTGTCTCTGACAGTGATACAACCTGTAAGCCTCTATAGCACTCAACGCAGTTGACTTTTGTTTTGAGGACATAGGGCAAGAGACTTTAGACGCTTTCTCTGCGGCCTGAATGGTGCTAGTCCTAAAGTGGGTGTTTATGGTTACAGGCTGTGTTTTGCCCGTGCTGAGCTTCAGATCCTGAGTGACAGAGACCCTCATGTGTTCTTTATTTGACTTGGACTTATGATATGCAGAGTCTTCTAAAACACAGGACCTATGTCTAAGGATGGTAGTAGTAGTAAGGGCTCAGATATTAAAGGATATTTTGAAATTTTTATTTGCATCTCTTTGGTTTCTGAATTTGCATAACAAGAGTTTAACTAGAACCAAGCAACAGCATTTACTGACAGACCAGATGTGATACATGAGAGAAGCACAGGAGTCAAGGATGACACCAAGAGTTTTGACCTGAACAATGGAAAAATGGAACTGTCATTAACTGAACGAGGGAGGACTGAGGAAGGAGTGGACATTTTAAATGCCAAGTTTGAGATGTTATCAGACATCCAAATAGAGACGTCTCAGGGGGAAGCCAGGCTGAAGACACATTTCAAGGTCATCAGTGGGAGAAAAGCCAAGAACTAAATGAGATCAGGTAGGATGAGTGGAGAAAGAGAAGAGTTCCAAGGACTTTTTCCTGCCAGTTGTACCCCACAAGAATCATCCTCAACCATGCAGACCGTGGAGCAGCTCACTGGAAGAAACCTGAGCACCTGGACGGACGTGGAGCGCAGCCATCAGCTGACCTAGGACGTCAGTCCTTAGACCATTATTGTCTTACTCAGTCTGGGCTGCTGCAATGGAATATCATAGGCTGGGGGACTTAAATGCAACAGAAATTTATTTCTTACAGTTCTGTAAGCTGGGAAGTCCAGATCAAGGTACCCACAGATTTGGTGTCTGGTGAGAACCAGCTTCCTGGTTCCTGTCTTCCCACTGTGTTGTAACATGGTGGAGGAGGCAAGGGGGCCCTCCAGAGCCTCTTTTGTATAATTACACTTATTCCATTCCTGAGGGCTCAGCCCTCATGACCTAATCACCTCTCAATGCTCCTAACTTCAAACACTATCACGCTGGGGATTAGGTTTCAACATACAAATTTGGGGAGGACATAAATATTCAGTGCATTGCAATTATATAAGAGACAAATTAACTTCTATCTTGTTCAATCCACTGAATAATTGTCCATTGTTTTTGTTACAGCAGCACCACCTTACCCTAGGTGGCAAACCACGGGGAGGTCCCCACACCCAACATAGTCCAGGAGCAGTAGACAGGAATGAGTGACTCTTCATGCTTGAGGGTGGCACGGGGAGTGGTGGAACATTTTCTCCAGTGGCAGAAATGAGCAGAGCAGGTGTGGCACATATTGCTGGCAGACATGAAGAGGCCTTGTGGTGTAAGATGAGGACACAGCAGAAGCCACAAGGACAGGTGACCTGATACCAATGGAACAAGGTGTCAGTATGGACAGATGTCAAGGATGAGACACTCTAGCCTCCCTCCCCAAAGACTAGATCATCCTTAACCTGCTCCATTCCACTTGTGTTTGTGGTTCACAAACCTCCCAGTACTTAGACGCAGCCCTTGGCGAATGTGTGGGAGACACCCTAAATCATCTGTTGCTACTGTGCATGGCCAACTTCCAACTTGTGCACACTGGATCCCATCCCCACTCACCTACTTGAAGACTTTGATCCTGTAAACTTCTCTTTCTCCTACATCATCAACTTCCCCCTTTACTGTAATAGCCTCCATTTGAAAGAAAAAGGCAAACCTTCCCTTGACCCTCACTGCCCCCCTCAACTATAATCCTATTTTTGTTCTCCAATTCCTTTAAATGCTTCTTCTCACTGACTCCACTTCCTGACCCCCCATTTTCTCCCTTTGTACTTTTTTCTCTCCCCCATTCTGTCTTTAACTTATCCCATCAGGCTTTCCTGTCAACTACATGAAACCACTTTTCAGGGTCACAAAACACATTTATCCTGCCAAAGCTTTTAGCAGCCTTTCAAACAATTGATCCCTTCTTTCTTGAAGCCCTTTGTCCCTCTAGGCTTCTGAAACTCAGAATTCTCCTACCTCACTAACTGAACCTTCTCAGCGTCATTTTCTGGATTGCCACTCCCTCCCTCCTCCAGCCTTTTGTCTGTCCCCAACCACCTAATGTATGGAGCTCTGGGCCCACGTTTGAAATTCTTCTCTTTCTTCACTCTCTTCTCAGGTGATCTCATGGCTTTTAAAACCATCTACATGTTCATGACTTCCAAATTATGCTTCCAGCCCTCACTGCTACTCTGTACGTCAGGTTTGTATCTCTAACTGCCTACTCATTTCACAGTCACCTCAAAATTATCATGACCAAAACAGAAGCCTTCTTTTCCCCTTCCAAATCTGTACCTCCATCACTCTTTCCATGTCACTGTTCACCCAGTTGCTCAAGCCAAAAACACGGGACACATGTCCTTCTTTCCTCTGTGTTACTTACTGTGTCCAATTCCTCAGCTGGCCGTTGAAGTTTGAGTCTTGAAACTCACCCCATCTTCATGGCCTTGCAATTGTCATTGCTTTCTTAAATATGACACCAAAAGTACAGCAACAAAAGAAAAAAAAGTTAATTCGGCCTCACTAAAAAACTTTTTTGAGTATCAAAAGACACTCTCAAAAAAGTGAGAAGACAACCCATAATGGTATAAAATATTTGCAAATCATATATGTGATAAGGTATTAATATACAAAATATATAAAGAACTCCTATAACAATCTAATTAAAAAATGAGCAAAAGATATTTTGAATAGATATTTGATATCTATAAGAGGTATGTAAACAGATATTTCCCCAAAGAAGACTGACAAATGAATGATAAACACATGAAAAGATACCCATCATTAATCATTAGGGAAATGCAAATCAAAACCACATTGAAGATATCACTTCACTCTCACTAGGATGACTATTAAAGAAGCAAATAGGAAATTAGTGTTGGTAAGAATGTGGAGAAACTGGAACTCTTATTCATTGCTAGTGGGAATGTAAAATGGTGTGGCCAAGGTGGAAAACAGTTTGGAAGTTCCTCAAAAGGCTAAACCTAGAATTGCCATTTGATCTACTCCTAAGCATATACCCAAAAGAATTGAAAGCAAGGACTCAAACAGGTATCTGAACACCAATGTTCATAGCAGTATTATTCACAATAGCCAAAAGGTGGACACAAGCCAAATGTTATTAATACATGAGTGGGTAACAAAATGTGATGTAGGCATATAGTAAAATATTACTCAGCTATGAAAAGGAATGAAGTACTGAGATGTGTAGCCTTATGGATGAACCTTGAAAATATTATGCCAAGTCAAATAAGCCAGACACAAAAGCACAAGTATTGTGTGATTCTAGTTACATGAAATACCTAGAATAGGCAAAGTCATAGAGACAGAGTGTAGAATAAAGGTTATCAGGGGCTGGAGGAATGGGGAATTGGGCAATTATTGCTTAGTGAGTACGGAGTTTCTGTGTGAAATGATGAAAATGATCTGGATCTAGATATAGATGGATGGATAGAGATAGGGAGTATATTTAATGCCACTGAACTGTACACCTAAAAATGGTTAACATGGCAAATTACCTATATTTTTTGTCACAATAAAAAATGAAAAAAAATATCTGAAATCTGATCACCTTTCGCCATTTGTACCTTTTTCTCCCTAGTCCAGATCACCATCATCTCTGGCCATCTAGCTAGTCTCCCTGTTTCCATTCTCATCTTATTATTTCCATACAGCAGCTAACTAATCTTTTAAAATGTGAATCAGATCCCAACACCACCAGCTCAAAACCCTCCAATGATTTCCCATCATTTTCGGAATGAAATCCAAACTCTTAACTATGACTCATAAAGCCCTAGAGGATTTGGCTACTGGCTTCCTCCCTAATCTACCTCCTACCACTCTCCCCTTCATTCCTCTAGGCCAGTCACACTGGTCTTACTGTTACTCATACATGCCCAGCACGTCCAACACCAGGCCCTTTGCACTTACTGTTCCCTCCATCTGGAATACATTTCCAAAGATGTTCACATGGCTGATGTGTTCACTTATTTTATTTTATTAATTTTTTGAGTCTGTCATTGTTTATTAATATTCTTTGATAGGTTCACATTTATTCTTTCACCATATTGGGTTTTTTTATTAAGGTATTATTGATATACACTCTTACGAAGGTTTCACATGAAAAACCATGTGGTTACTACATTCACCCATACTATCGAATTCCCCCCATACTCCACTGCAATCACTGTCCATCAGTGTAGTAAGATGCCACAGAGTAACTATTTGCCTTCTTTGTGCTACACTGTCTTCCCCATGATCCCCCCCACACCATGTGTGCCAATCATAATACCTCTCAATCCCCTTCTCCCCCCCTCCCCACCCACCCCTCCACACCCCTCCCCTTTGCTTAGTCCCTTCTTGGAGTCTGTGAGTCTGCTGCTGTTTTGTTCCTTCAGTTTAGCTTCATTGTTATACTCCACAAATGGGGGAAATCATTTGGTACTTGTCTTTCTCTGCTTGGTTTATTTCATTGAGCATAATATCCTCCAGCTCCATCCATGTTGTTGCAAATGATAGGATTTGTTTCTTTCTTATGACTGAATAGTATTCCATTGTGTATATGTACCTCATCTTCTTTATCCATTCATCTACTGATGGACACTTAGGTTGCTTCCATATCTTGGCTATTGTAAATAGTGCTGCAATAAACACAGGGGTGCCTATGTCTTTTTGAATCTGAGAACTTGTATTCCTTGGGTAAATTCCTAGGAGAGGAATTTCCAGGTCAAATGGTATTTCTATTTTTTTATTTCTGAGGAACCTCCATATTGCTTTCCACAATGGTTGAACTGGTTTACATTCCCACCAGCAGTGTGGGAGGGTTCCCTTTTCTCCTCTTCCTCGCCAGCATTTGTCGTTCTTAGCCTTTTGATGCTGGCCATCCTAAATGGTGTGAGGTGATATCTCATTGTGGTTTTAATTTGCATTTCTCTGATAATTAGTGATGTGGAGCATCTTTTCATGTGCCTGTTGGCCATCTGAATTTCTTCTTTAGAGAAGTGTCTGTTCATATCCTCTGCCCATTTTTTAATCAGGTTATTTGCTTTTTGGTTGTTGAGGCGTGTGAGTTCTTTATATATTTTGGATGTTAACCCCTTGTCAGATATGTCATTTACAAATATATTCTCCCATGCTGCAGGATGCCTTTTTGTTCTGCTGATGGTGTCCTTTGCTGCACAGAAGCTTTTAGTTTGATGTAGTTCCATGTGTTCATTTTTGCTTTTGTTTCCCTTGCTCAAGGAGATGCGTTCAGTAAAAAGCTGCTCATGTTTATATTCGGTCTTCCCCATGATCCCCCCCACACCATGTGTGCCAATCATAATACCCCTCAGTTCCCTTCTCCCCCACTCCCTACCTGCTCCCCACACCCCTCCCCTTTGGTAACCGCTAGTCCCTTCTTGGAGTCTGTGAGTCTGCTGCTGTTTTGTTCCTTCAGATTTGCTTCATTGTTATACTCCACAAATGAGGGAAATCATTTGGTATTTGTCTTTCTCTGCCTGGCTTATTTCATTGAGCATAATATCCTCCAGCTCCATCCATGTTGTTGCAACATGGAGATTTTTGCCTACGTTTTCTTCTAAGAGTTTTATGGTTTCATGACTTACATTCAGGTCTTTGATCCATTTTGAGTTTACTTTTTTTGGTATCATTAATGTACAATTACATGAGCAACATTATGGTTACTAGACTCCCCCTATTATCAAGTTCCCACCACAGACCCATTATAGTCACTGTCCATCAGCATAGTAAGATGCTATAGAATCATTACTTGTTTTCTCTGTATTATACTGCTTTCCCCGTGCCCCGCCCCCTGCTACATTATGTGTGCTAATCGTAATGCCCCCTTTTCCACTTATCCCTCCCTTCCCACCTATCCTCCCCAGTCCCTTTCCCTCTAGTAACTGTTAGTCCATTCTTGGGTTCTGTGAGTCTGCTATTGTTTTGTTCCTTTAGTTTTTGCTTTGTTCTTATACTCCACAGATGAGTGAAATCTTTTGATACTTGTCTTTCTCCGCCTGGCTTATTTCACTGAGCATAATACCCTCTAACTCCATCCATGTTGTTGCAAATGGTAGGATTTGTTTTCTTCTTATGGCTGAATAATATTCCATTGTGTATATGTACCACATCTTCTTTATCCATTCATCTACTGAAGAACACTTAGGTTGCTTCCATTTCTTGGCTATTGTAAATAGTGCTGCGATAAACATAGGAGTGCATGTGTCTTTTTCAAACTGGATGACTGCATTCTTAGGGTAAATTCCTAAGAGTGGAATTCCTGGGTTGAATGGTATTTCTATTTTTAGTTTTTTGAGGAACCTCCATACTGCTTTCCACAATAGTTGAACTAATCTACATTCTCACCAATAGTGTAGGAGGGTTCCCTTTCTCCACATTATCGCCAACATTTGTTTGTCTTTTGTATGTTGGCCATCCTAATTCATGTGAGGTGATATCTCATTGTGGTTTTAATTTGCATTTCTCTGATGATTAGCAATGTGGGGCATCTTTTCATGTGCCTGTTGGCCATCTGAATTTCTTCTTTGGAGAAGTGTCTGTTCAGATTCTCTGCCCATTTTTTAATTGGATTATTTGCTTTTTGTTTGTTGTAGTGAATGGGCTCTTTATATAATTTGGATGTCAACACCTTGTCGGATATGTCATTTGTGAATATATTCTCCCATACTGTAGGATGCTTTTTTTGTTCTACTGATGGTGTCCTTGGCTATACAGAAGCTTTTTAGCTTGATATAGTCCCACTTGTTCATTTTTGCTTTTGTTTCCCTTGCCTGGGGAGATATGTTCATGAAGAAGTTGCTCATGTTTATGTCCAAGAGATTTTTGCCTATGTTTTTTTCTAAGAGTTTTATGATTTCATGACTACATTCAGGTCTTTGATTCATTTTGAGTTTACTTTTGTGTATGGGGTTAGACAATAATCCAGTTTCATTCTCTTACATGTTGCTGTTCAGTTTTGCCAACACCAGCTGTTGAAGAGGCTGTCATTTCCCCATTGTATATCCATGGCTCCTTTATCGAATATTAAAATTGGCCATATATGCTTGGGTTTATATCTGGTCTGTCTAGTCTGTTCCATTGGTCTATGGGTCTGTTCTTGTGCCAGTACCAAATTGTCTTGATTACTGTGACTTTGTAGTAGAGCTTGAAGTTGGGAAGTAAGATCCTCCCTTCTTTATTCTTCCTTCTCAGGATTACTTTGGCTATTTGGGGTCTTTTGTGGTTCCATATGAATTTTAGAATGATTTGTTCTAGTTTGTTGAAGAATGCTGTTGGTATTTTGTTAAGGATTGCACTGAATCTGTATATTGCTTTAGGCAGGGTGGCCATTTTGACAATATTAATTCTTCCTATCCATGAGCACAGGATATGTTTCCATTTATTGGTAACTCTTTAATTTCTCTCTTGAGTGTCTTGTAGTTTTCACAGTATAGGTCTTTCACTTC